AACAACTTAACAACTTTTTAAAGCTAAGTGTCAACACTAGATGGACACAAATCGATCTTGCAAGAAAATCAATTTTGTCATCAATACGATCAACTAGTGTTGATGCTTATGCTTAACAAGCACTCGATGGACACACAAAAATTATCACAAAGTTAATTGAGTTCAAAGTTCAATTATTAAGTTCAAATTAATTGAGGTCATCAAGAATTAGTTATTAAGTTCTAAGTTCAATGTTCAAGTTCTAAATTCAAGTTCATATCAAAGTTCTAAAATTAGTTATACATAAACTTCAAATCCAAAAATTAGCTAGTTATTATATTCAAGTTCAAGTTCAATAACTGTATTCAAGTTTTAATTAAGTTCAACAACTTCAAGTCCTAATTAAATTCATCATATATATCCAATTTCTAAAATTAATTATACATAAAATTCTAACTCAAGAATTAATTAGTTATATTCAAATTTCAAAATCAAGTTCTAAATCTAACTTCAGTTCATCAAATTTCAATTCATCTAGATTAACACTCCACTAAACTTATAATAATCAATCAATCCTACCTAAAATCAAAAACCCTAAATCATTCACTAACTAACTAACAATCATTCAATCAAACTTATAACAATCAATAAAAAACAAATTCAATACTAATTAACAAAATCAAAAACCCTAAATCATTCACTTACTAACTAACAATCAACCAAACTAATAATGAATAAAAAACTAATTCAATACACTATCAAACACAATCAATCATTCAATAAAACACAAATCCAATAAACTAATTAACATAATCAACTATAACTAAAATTGAAAAAATTTAAAACTAATTTGATAAAACCCTAACCTTAAATTAATGGAGAAAGAGACAATGGAGAGAGGAAGTAGTGACGGCAGCAGTGATTCCAGCAGCGGCGTTGACAGCAGCGGTGGTGGCAAGCAACGGAAGCAGCCGCGGAATCTTTAGAGAGAAAGAAGAGAGAAGGAAGAGAGGGAAAATGGGGAAAAATGCGTCTGCTATTTCAGATATTTAATGAAAAGCAACGGACAACGTCTCCCCATCCGTCGCTTTTCATTTAAAAAGTTGACCAACATTTTGACCAAAAAACGACGGAAAAAGAGACACTGTCCGTCGCTTTTTAAAAATAGTTGACCGACCTATTTTGACTACAAGTGACGAACATAAAGATGTCGTCTGTCGATATAATAAAAAGAATATTTAATAAAATAAAATAAATATCAAGCGACGGACAACGTCGTTAATATTTTAATTAATATATAATTATTTTTAATAAAACGACGGACGGCGTCGCTATATATATTAAATAAATAATTATTAATTTTATATATATTTGGCCCAAAAATCCGCGAAAAAAAGCAACGGACTAAGAGATGTCGTCTGTCGCTTTTTGTAAAATAATTTTAAAAATAGTTATTTTTATTAAAAAGCGACGGACAGTGTGGCAAATGGCGTCGCTTTTTGGAGCGATGCCGTCCGTTGTTTTTTAGCAGTTTTTTCTCACGGATAGTCTACAAATACATGGTTTTCCATATATTTTTGTATATTTACTTGAGTATATTTTCAAGAATCCTCAGGACAAGTAAATTTCATGTCTTTAGACTTATATCTTTTAAATTTCATGTCTTAGTCAGAATACATAATTTTTCATGATTTGTTTTACATTCAGCTTTTCAATTGAACGTGCATAAGAGGCCTCCAGATAAAGTATCTATTACTCCACTACTAGATTTTAGTATTCAGGAGCTTCAACTCATAACATTAAGATATACGACATGCATGACATCTAGATATGTCATCAATATTTTTTGAACATTTTCCCAAAAGTATGATATCCGGAATGCCACCAATGATCGTGGATCAGTTTTCTTATACAAACAAAGTTCACTAGTAGTATGCCAATCAAGTATGGCATCCATGATTATGAAAAACATTCTCAGAAGCTATCGGTTATGTTCGGTTGGAAGTAGTGCTTAGCATCAAATTAGACTAGGGCTAGTATACCTAAGTCTCAAAATTACGTGTTACCATAGGTTTATTTACCCCATAGTGGACACATTTTATAAGCTTAATGGTGCCACATCAGATCAGATCAACTTTTACCTCTTGGCAAGTTATGTTTGACCCTTTTCAATGGGGATTATACATCAAACTTCATGTTTAGGTCACATTTTTATATGTCGGTTAATAGTACCTTCCACAATTTAATCTCAGATATTGCATGACCTTGTATTCAGTTATTTCAATCAATATTTATCAGTTGCCTATTTTACTACTTGATCATTTCATCAAATTATATGTATTAGTTTCGTATTAAGTTAGTATCTTGAATTCTTCATGTTGAGCTTTACAAATTATCATGCATATCTCACATACTCAGTAAATTCAAAGTACTAATCGCATACCTGATCTGTTGCATATATTATTCATGTGATGTAGATTCAGATGCTTCTATTAGGATCCTGGTCATGCATATCACAGCTTACAACCAGGAGGTAATGAGTTCTCTTTGTTTGAGGACTCAAGTCAATTTGTAATTCTAGTATCTTATTTGTTTTTATATGTATTTATTAAGGGTAGTAGGGGATCATGTCCTGACTACTTGTATTCAGTATTAGTAGAAGCTTCATAGACAATCAGTTAGAGTTGATTATTCAATCTACTTAGTTTCAGTTTCTTTATAGATTATAATTATTGTAAACCAAACTTTGTTCAGTAATGTATTGAATTAACTTATTCCATAATTATGCTTCCACTCAGCCATTTAAGTTCTTATTTATGTATATATTTAGTTGATTATGACTTGTGTCAATATCAAGGGTTAGCTCAGAATCACTTGTGACTCTAAGCACCATGTTATGAGTTACGACTAGGACGTACTCTCTGATCGGAACACATATGAACTATTATGTTGTCTTGATAGTGTAAAAACCTACACTCTCTATGTGTATAGTCACAATTTTGTAAATGATAATTAGTTATCGATTAAAATATTCACCAATTCAGAAAGGCAAAATACATAAAAGCATAATACATAAATATGTCATTTAACTTGACCCTAGCTCACATTTATGTCTTTCAACTTTGGGTGTGTACAAATAGACACATAAACTTGTATAAAGTTGAACAAATAGACATATGCGTCTTACGTGGCATCCTATGTGACAATTTGAGTCTTACATGATGTATGCCACATATGACTCATGTGTCGGACGCGGCTCCTCTCCAGTTCGTCGAGTATTGCCTTATATTTGTTACACGTGTCCACTTAAAATTTCAATGGATGTGATCTATTTATTAACTACTATATACTAACCATAGTTAAGAGAGTCTTTACAAAGTAAAATCTGGCAAATTGTATTTAGTCCATATTCATCCCCGAACTTGGAAGTTCCGCCGGCATAATTGATAGGCTCTCTTATTGTTTCATAACACTGTAAACAAAAGTTTGTAAATTGAATTGCACAAAGAAAAATCTACCACCAAGTAAAACTAAAGCAACGATTTCAACAAAAAGGGAACAAATTGCCGGTCAAGAAAAAGATTTTAGGTCTCTGATAAAAGTATATATGGAATTCAACCATGGATGGACAATTGGTAACAACAATTGAAAGCTAACATCTCTTGAATCTTTTTCCAAGTCAAACGAGTAAGTGATGATTTGGAAGATAACTACTTCAAAACACTCTTTATAGTAAGACTAGTTTTACTATAAATAAGCCAGATACATGCATAATTTTCACAAGTCAGAACAACACTATATTTCATGATTTATGTATTATTTCGAGATTGGTAAGGTTAATTTTTATTTAGGATATCAATAAATAAATCACAATATATGATGAAAGTCCAGTATTTAATTTTGCGAGTGCGAAATTCAGGGTGGTTCGCCGGCGGAGGAGAAGAGGGCTCTCTCTGCGACATTTGAAAGAAAGAGGAAACTAATTCTGGTACAGTGTAATGAAAAGAAAAGAGACTATTGTTAAGATATTTTAGTTAGTAAATAAATCATGTCCGTGGAGTCACAAACTAGACACGTGTAACAAATATAAGGCAGCACTGGACGAACTGGAGAAGATGGCCAATAGAGGGGAGCCGAGTCCTCATGTGTCTACTTATTCAATTTTATACAAGTTTAAATGTTTATTTATGTACATCCAAAGTTGGACGACATAAATATAAAATGAGGCTAAGTTATATGAATTATGCCATACATAAATGTGTCATTTAATTTGGTTTCAGTTGACATTTATGCCCACCAACTTTGAGTATGCACAATCAGACTCTTACACTTTTATAAAGTTGAACAAGTGAACACACATATCCTAGCATAATACACATAGGACATTTAAACTTATTTAAAGTTGAACAAATAAACATATGCGCCTTACATGACATCTACATGACAAGTTAAAATGACACATGTATATTTATTGTTATTCAGAAATGATTCACTGATCTTTAATATTTTTTTAAGATAAAAGGGCGGTCAGATTTGTTTTTGTTTTTTTTTTAAACTTTAACAGTAATGTAGATTCAAAGATTTCAACCATAATGTTTAAGTGAATGACAAGTATATATATTTTTCTTGGAAAAGAAATAGAAAACAAGAGATATAACATGGGCTGCTGATATTAAAATGTGTGTATAGTCATTTGTCCCATTCCCAGACTTATCAGATTGGTTGAGTATTAATTGACTTCTGGGCTCATCTATGAGTAATTTGACTTGATACACTGCATATCAATTATAGGAATATTGCATATATACTTAGTGATGACATCCTTAACTCATCTATTACTGCTCTTCCCCTGCATTTCCAACTCAATGACTTTGATATGGACAGCTCTAGTGTTTTGTCTATTTACATATGCCTTGTATGAGCTGATAAACATTCACAAGAGGAAAAAGTTTCCTCCAGGTCCAAAAGGGCTTCCTTTTTTAGGACATCTTCATTTGTTAGGCAAAAATCCACACCAAGATTTACAAAAACTAGCCAACAAACATGGTCCTATTATGTATGTCCGATTGGGACTAGTACCTACAATCATTGCCTCGTCTGCTGATGCAGCTGAAAAGGTCCTCAAGACATATGATCACATATTTGCTACTAGGCCTCATCATGAGGCATCTCAATATTTGTCTTATGGACAGAAGAATTTGATATTTGCAAAGTATGGTGTGTATTGGCGTAACATGCGCAAATTGTGCACTGTGCACCTTTTGAGCAATAACAAGATCAATTCATTTCAATCCATCAGAAAACAAGAAGTTGAACTTCTTATTGAGTCGCTTAAAAAGGAAGCTCATGATCGTGTAGTTGTTGATCTTAGTGCAAAGATTACGTCCTTGAGTGCTAACTTGACTTGTTTAATGGTGTTTGGAAAGAAGTACATGGATGAGGACTTGGACAAGAGGGGATTCAAATCTGTTGTTCAAGATGTTGTGCATTTAGCAGCAACGCCAAATCTTGGTGATTTTTTCCCCTTCCTTGGTGCTATTGATCTCCAGGGTCTCACTCGCAAGCTCAAGGATCTTTCGAAGGTGTTTGATGAGTTCCTTGAGAAGATTATTGATGAACATGTTCATTCACACGACCAGAAGCAAACCAAGGACTTTGTGGACACCATGATGGGCATAATGCAATCTGGAGAAGCGGAATTTCAGTTTGACCGTCGTCACATAAAAGCTATCCTCTTTGTATGTACTTTCATCCCATTTATAAGTCATATATACTAATATAAGCTTAATATACAACAAGCCTTGAGAATGAAATGGTTTGTACTACTAATTAATTCCTCTGTTTCCGTTTTACTATACAGGACATGCTTATAGCTGCAATGGACACTACAGCATCATCAACGTTATGGATACTCACAGAACTTCTTAGACATCCCCAAGTG